CAAACATCGAATGTTTATGGTTCTACGGTGTGGAACAAAGATATCTGTTAAGATATTTGCATATTTTTTTACATAAAATTCTAAATATAAATACATAAATTAAAAAAATAATTAAAGTGTATCGACATTATATTTTTTATATTATTATTTAATCATGAATTGTTTTATTGGCGTGAATTAGAAACCGAATAAGGCATGTAACTTTATAAAAAAGAAATATGTACGGGGATTATCTCATTCTCATAAATAAAGACTCAAACTGACTGTATAACACTTAGCATATATTCCAATTATAAAACAATAAACTAATAGTATTCAATCTCTTTCTTTTCATTTTAAAATCTAAACTAACAGTTTAAGATATATTTAGAAGAACTTATGAAAAATAATTTATGATTCTTTATTTTAATAAACTTCTTTATATAATTTATCAATATAAGTTGTTTTTAATTTATTTCAATAAAATTTAACATTAAATTTACAATGTAAGTCATTGTTTTAAAAAGATTTTATTGCATAAGTGCTTAAATTTCAAATGCACCCTTAATTAAGCAAATGCACCCTCAGTTGCTTTACACATTTGCTTAATTATTTTTGTATAGCAGAAAATTAACTTAATTGATGTCGCTTTGTATAAATATGGTATAGCTTATATGCAACTGGCAAATGCATGCCTTGTTTGAATCTATTTTATAAAACCAAAGCTGACGAGTTTGCTGTCACAAGTGTTCACAGATTTTGAGCCACTTTGGATTTTCAAATAATGAAGTACCCTCACCCTGAACCTGTTTTAAAATTGCATTATTGATCTCTGTCCAATTAAAAACCTGTGGCCATCTTATGACTTAGATCTATTGCTTAAGATGCTTAAGAAATATTTTGATACCCACGGAATACATGTTTTGCTTAGGTGGAAGATTTTCTTAGAATATAAAATTACAAGAAGCCTCTATATGGACCAAATATATATATATAAACTAGGATTGTGCATAGGCACAACTGGAATGGGACCTTGGAAACTACAAGGAAATGATCCTTGCCACATGCGGAGAGGAACTGCGAAATTCAACACTTGGCATGCCTTTGGATATGGATTATGGAACCCCTTATTATAAAAAGTTCAGTTCATAAGGCCCCACTGAGATTACTTGAAAATGTGACAGTATTAATAATGTGATTGGTCCTTCTTGTCTCCTACTCCTATATAAGTATATATATTTATTAATTCAGAAAAACCAACATCCCAAGTGCTTTATGATCTATCTTAGATATGGTATGATACAATTGATTACGATCATATCAGGCATGATTGTATCTGATCTTTCATTTCATTTGCTATGTGCACTGCATTCATTAGAGACTGAGTAGTGTCTTGTTTTAAATTTCTTATGCATCAATCATATGATAAAGGAGACCTTTAAGGTATATATATTTCCATCCATCCAGTGAAGGGGCATCAGAATAAGATTCCTTTTTTACTTTAATTTAATTTTGGTTTGATATATACTGGAAAGATTCAATGGAACAGGTATATTGGTTACTGGCATAATCTTTCAGGAGAGTTGTAGTGTACCTTTCGGAGTTATCAATGACAGATTTTCATAGTAATGATCATATTTAAGTCACACTGAATTTATGTCTTGTAGAAATCTCAAGTTCGAACATTAATAGCTTGCCGGGTAATTTTGAATTGGTACATTGGTTTGGAAAGATCCAGTTATTATATAAACAATATCTTTTTAAAATTTGTCAAGTCTTCATTTTCCCTATGCATAGGTATGCATATTTATCTAAGGAATAAATGCCTTAAATTCGATCGTTTTCTTTTTCAATCAAACAAAAATCAGGGATTTTAAAATAAATACAATTAGTTAATGCATATGTAAGTCTTGACTCATCAAGAGTCAGCCATAATTAATGAGTCATCGATGGCATATATAGTTCCTCTGCTTCTCACGTGTCATTGAGATTTCTTCTCAGATTAATTTGGCTTTTTTTGAACAAAAGAGAGTATCTGAACTTAAAGTTTTGTTTAAAGAACAGAGTTGGTGCTTACATTATATTAATTTAGTGCAATCTCAAGGAAACCGATGATGTCATTCCCCTTCATCTTTAAATTATTATCTGAGTTTCACACATGCTCATCGATTATTTTATAAATTATGAGGCTGTTGAATTAATCCGTAGATTTACCTTTTGGTACCCAACAAAACCAATGCATACTTCCCATAAAGTATAAAGATTTGCTTCCATGCATGCATGTGATCACGCATTATTAAATTTTCTAGCTTCCCATATCTTGTCGTGCTATTCTTTATGCCGTTTCTCTTTTATTGCATTCCATTGCATATATTAAGAATGTGTCCGTGGGAGTAAAAATAAAATTTTCTAAAGTAGAAAGAGAATGAGAATTACATCAAATATATAATCGAAAACAGTTAATTAATTGCTTCTTAAATCCAATTAGGGGGATTAGGTGAATCTGTGAAAACCGAACCTATACTGTAGGGGAGATGCCTATAAAGCTTACTCCATCGATAGCATCGAATGCATATTTAATATAGCTTTTAATACATTCTCACCATATTTTAAAATAATTTGTGAATTTTTTAACCAAAGAACAATGATTAGCAGGGTTCTAGAGCTAGAAATATGAAGTGAAGGGCGAGAAATGAAATACCCAAGTACTTAATGTTAAAGGAAAAATACCACCAAATTAAAGAAATATGTGAAAATTTAATTACTATTCTAAGACTATCAATTAAGTATAAGAAATTAAATACCCAAGTACTCAACATTCCCTTACCTCTTTCTATGCTCTTCTCCTCCCTTGAAGTAAGCAAATCAAGTGTTAGAACTTAGAAATGGAGACTTTCATCAAATTTGAAGGGAATATATTTATCAAGGAAGAGAGTAAGAATATCTCTTGCAATTCGAAGTGATTCTCAAATTTTGGCTTGTTATAAAGTATGAGTCTCACCTCGTTTAATATACTTTTTAATCTGTAAGGCACCACGGCACTTTTGTGAACCCTTTTAACTGCACTAGACTTTTTCCTAGGAAATTTCTAGATTTAACTTCTAAACATATTTTAGCAAGATGTTTGATATACATTCTTTTAGATTTTTCGTTTTCATCTTTCCACAAATTGAGCCATAATAATTCATGTAAAAGCAAGCTCCACATTAACTACTGGGCTATAAATTTACGTTTTAACAACAAACTCTCTACCACTTTGTGGGCAAAAGATAAGCAAGTTTATATCAATATCAATTTGGGCATTTTAAGTCTATATGGGCTGGCCCGTCATTAACAAAATGCTTATAAGAAAAAAAAGGGAAAACTAATAAGCTGCTTCTCAATCTTAGCTTAAAAAGCCCTTCTGAAGTTTTAATTTTATCTGTCTAATCGTAAATGTATTTTTTACAGGAAAAAGTTATGACACTGTCCAAAGAGGAAAGGTGATAGTAATTACATTCATATTTATAAATATTAAAATAAAAAATATGCACTTATTAGTATTATTTGGTCTCATGCAATGCTTTTGCAATTTGAATCGGGCCAAAATTGTGATTGAGTAAAACTTTGAAAAAGATGAAATGTACGCTAAACTACGATTGTTACCCTGTTAAAACGAAAGTTTCGTTCACGACCAAACAAAAAATAAGCGAAAGCTTCGTTAATATGAGCCTCTGGAACGTAATATTAATAACAGACATTGTTAGATGAAATATATAATTAAGTATTTAATATATTGAAATTCTAAATATTATTTAATAAATTTTTAATCTTTGTTGTTTATAGTTAGTTTCACTTGATCCCTTTTACCCTCAGTCAACTTGGCCTGATTCCCTTTGGTCAATTCAGCCTGGTTTTGCCTCTGAATGGTTTTATTGTTAGATGTAGTTTATCTATTATACACTTAGAGGAATAGTATATTTAATTGTAACAAATTAGAGCTAAGGATTTTAAGTTGAGGAAGAATATTAAATAATATGAAAAAATATTCAATAATATATTGATTATATTGAGTATAAAACCACTATGTTTGGGATGAAGAACATGTGATATTAAAATTAATGATTATAAGGTCAAGCCACCTTTTTTTCTTGTGCGGGTGGGCCATTTTATTTTTCTCCAATTAGCCACGTCCATTATATTGAAATACTCAAATATGGTCAACTCAACATCAATGCACCAGAAAATGAATTTTCCGACAACTATAGACATTTCATAATTAGCAAAGTATACTTTAGTAAAAGGCAAACCAAATATATATATAAACTCGAACTTATACTAAATTTTAATAGTATAAAAATTAATTAATTAAATGATTAAAAATTATCTAAAAAATATATAAAAAATATAATAATAATAAAAAATAAATTTTTAACCGTTAAATTATTTAATTTATATCGTTAAAATTTAGTATAAATTTTTTATACCTACACTATAATGTGAATAGATCATATTTCATATATATATATATATATATAAATTCAAATTTGTCACTTTTTTTATTTGTTTTCAGAGAATTGTATAAAAACACTCTAATTTATTTTTTTGAATTTTACTGTTTATTGTACAAACTTTTAAAAATGAAATAAAAGTAAAGTAGCAATTTTATAATAAAAATAAAAAACAGAAAATTAAAAAAAAATTATTAAATAAAAAGCCCCTCATTTTCCTTGTTAAAATGTTAAGTCGCACTTTCTGGCCCACACAGGTAAACGTTCATGGTTTAATTTTTAAAAACATTAATGAGAGCAGCCGAATGGTTATAAGTTTGGATATATATATATATAATAACTTGTGATATACTACAATGGTTAAGCACGATAAAAACAATTGTTAATTCCCTCGCCGAACAAAAATATAATAATGAGAAGAAGAAAATGGCATACAAATACATATGTATAAAGAAAGAAAGTGTGCTGTTTTTTGTTCTTACCTTACCATGACAAACAAAATGGTCTCTTACATTAAACGTTGAGAGAGGGAGACAAGTTACTAGAGAAACAAAATTTACATACTAAGGTAACCTTAGTGACTGTAATTGAAGTATGGGAGCGTCTAAATCAAGATATAGACGTCTACAACAAACCTAATATATTGTCATCAATATATTATGTCCATTAAAAAGTTTAGGACACCCCAATCTCGTATATAGAATTATACATAAGCAAGCAAGTTGGTATTATATGCTTAAAGTTGGTCTTCAATCTTCAATCTTTCCAAATCAGCAGACAAAAGCATATAGCATTGCACTAGTTCCGACTTTTGCACTTTTCCATGGCTCTAGGTGCTGCAGGATTCACAGTTTAGATTAGTGTAACAATAAATATAGAGGGACCATAAACTCAATAGTAGCAATTCAGGGACAGTCAGCAGTGGAGTTCAATTGCGTTCTATGATCAAACCAGTATTCTGTTTTCCAATTTGAATATGAGAGAATATTGATGAGTTTCATGTTTTCTCAATTATAAAATAAAATATAATTGAAGGAGAGATTATAACAGAATTATTATAATAAATATTGCCCATACCTAACCCAATTGCTTCAGAACTTTTCATTATCCTCAGCCTCTTGCAAGATTCAGTGAACATCCTAAAAGAATAATAAGATCGTTTTAGACATTTTCTTGAACAAAAAGAAATGAAATAAAATGAAATACTAATCAATATGTCCTTTTTTAATTCTGATATTCTAAAGTCAAAATAATGTCTAACTATCAACTCAGTCAAATTTCTCCTAGAAATTAAACCAGAAAATGCACTTACTCCCAGGGAACATCACCAACTAGCATCAAATCACCATCCTTGTCTTCATAGGTAAGAACGTATTCTGAACCATGAAGGAGATCCATCAATCTACTCTCACTTAAATTTTCTCGACTAGAAACCCCATAAGAGCCACATTGACCTGAACTTGTCAATAAAAACATCTTCAGAATATGTCATAAAAATCACAGGCACATTCAGTCATGTGATTCTATGTCGTTGAAACACTACAACATTGAAACAGATAAATGTTAAGAAATTCATGCCACCAACAGTTAGTACTATCAAAACATCATGTGCATGTGCGTTGAGCCAACTATTTATTTATAACATTTGGTTTCATCATATTTTCCTTTTCCAATGTAATTAATTATACCAAGCCCTTTTTCGTCAGTAAAGAAATGATTGAACGATTCCTAGCACTCCACATGGTTCCATTATAACAAGCTCGAGCCTGAGATATGAAATAGTTTTTAGTCCTGGTTTACTCATCATAAGATCTAAATAGTTGTGGGCTATTAATAGGTTATATTCTATAATTTTTTTCGGATTAAAATCAAATGTGTTGCAAAGTATGATTACAAGAACAATTACAACAAATATTTGTGGTTAGCCTAAGAGCAAGTGTCAAGACACACACAGAAGGCAAGAAGGTGATAACAACTCACTGATTGTAAAACAACTAAACATCTTTTCGAGTGCCAAAGAAAGTTCCCTGTAAGTGCTAAAACTATTCAGATCCACTTTCCTCTGGTATGGGGCGCCTTCCATGCTGACTTTTACATAAAGGCATCCAGACTTGGCTTCTGTATCAGCATCATTCTTTTGAGGCTGAGTAGCCATTGAGTTCTTCCTGAAAGAAGAACGGATTGGTGGCCATCCCACAACTTGCGCCCTGAAGAATAAATTACAATACACAATTTAGGCTTGATGGTTGATGCAAAGAACCCAACTTTAGAAAAACTTTAAATTTTAAGGCCAGTGATTATAAATCAAAACAAAGGACTCTAGCTGAAAGAGTTCTGTATCCTCATATACAGACAAAAATCAAAGAGCACAGAAGCAAAGGAAAAATCTTTCGGCACCAGAATGCAAAGAAAATCATAATTGGCAGAGTTCAAATCCCGAACAGATACAAAAACAAATAAACAAATTAAATCATAGACAACCAAGACACAAGAAAATTTACAAAACAACCGAAGTAACTTAATGATGATGTTGACAAACATAGAAAGAAAATCCTCTAATTACATAGAATATACAAGTACTAAGATCTAGATGCTAACATGAGAATTAGCTTAGTTAGTTCATTACTGTTTAAATTTCAACTGACTAAAATAGAAAAGAGAAACCAATAAACCCTTTTCCTTATCCCTCCACGCACCCCAACTACTCAACAACAAAAGAAACATCACGTTTACAAGTTTTTGTAAACACACAGAAAAACAATAAAATGAATCACTTCGATGTAGAAGGAAGAAGGTAGTACTTTGCAGATGGAGCAGTAATATGGGACTTCTTCTCATGCAATGGTTGGTTTGGAGAGTGTGGAACAGTTTCCTTGACAAGGGTTGGTTGGTTGGTGCATTCAGTTGCAGCAGTGAGAGTGAGAGAGTTGGGAGATCCAGCATCAATGGCATCAGAGAAACCCCTCTTAGCCCCAGAAACCACAGTCTTAAGTACATCATCCCTCTCTGGTGACTCACACCCTGGCAACCCAAGTCTCAGCTCAGTAGCCTTCAGGTTCAACTCTTCACACCCTTTCATTGAAGGAACCTCAACATACCCATGTTCCAATGCCTCAGACATCAAATAACACTGATACTTTCAGAACACAAAACAGGAAGGAAAGAAGAAGAGAAAGAGCAGCAGAAAAGAATATATGATATTGAAGAATCACAACTCAAAAGTGGAAAAAGATATGTTAATGAAACTTCTCTGTAGCTTTTGGGTTCTTCTCTCTGTTCTGTTTCTTTCTTTCTATATAACCTCTCTGTGCTCTGTTAAGTACTTGCATTGAAGGGATACAAAACATAAAAAGACAGGGAATTTAGAACATTAATTAAACAAAGAACGAGGATGTGGTTTGCAAAAGAAAATACGGAACTGTTTCTGCTTTATTCTGCATTTTCCTTTTATATATTCTTTGAAGGTCGTGTTCCTTTTTAGTTTTTTATAAATTTGTGTGAATCTTTTTGTGGCCAACTACTCCGACAAGCCACAGAAAGCACCCCGGATACTTTGCTTATTTTATCTCCTTTTTTCTCTTTTTTTTTTCTTATTAAAAATCATGTATGTTGCATGAATATTAACAGTTAATAAGAAGAGCTGTATAAAAATGTAAAACGTTATTATAATTTACTATCAAATAATCATGTTTTTTTTTTTCACAATTAGTCAAAATATATTGGGTTAAATTGATGAAAAGGAAGAAGAATTATTGTACAGAAAGATTTTGGGTTGTTTCTCTTATAAAAAGATATAATCATTTCTGTAAACTATTACGGTCTATTTTATATCTTTTGTTATTTTATTATTATTTTAGAAATTTGAGATTGTTTTATTTATCATATTTTTCACTAATCAAATAGTATCACTGTGAGATTGTTGAAAGTTAAAAAAAAAATAACATAGGTAAAATATAAATAAATATATTTTGTTAAAATATAATAAATCATATATTAATTAGAAAAATTACCATATGCATATGTAATATTAAACAACAAAAATAAGAAATGGAGAGAGTTATAACTTTTGTTAAATTAATACAGGAAGAAAATAATATACTTTGTATAAAAAAAGAATAAAGTAGCTGATGAAAAGTACGTAGAAAACTAAGTATAATTTAATGTTTTGTTGGCATGCTTTGTAGAATGTGCTAATTAAGATTAGACTTTGGAAGGATGAAAGGTGAGGGTGGAAAGCGGAGCAAGGAATCAAAGAAAACGATGGAACGAACAGTGTCTGTGAAAAAGCCACATTTTCATGCGCCTCAGATGAATTAAAATATTAAAAATCAGTGACCATTGCAAGCTCCAGATTTTCTTGGCTTATTTGCTGCTTTGCTTTCTTGGATTCTCCTGAGAAAGAAAAACAAAAGTTGGAGATGCGTTGCTTTGCAGAGGCCAAGAAAGATTAATTTTTATGAACACCAAATACAACAAAAGTGACAACTAAAAGAAAATAAGATATCTTCCCAAAATCATAAAAAACAATAATAGTAAGCAAACAAAAATAAAAAAAGGGAAATCGAATTATTCACAAAGGATGATCAATAAAAATCAAATTTATGAATTGTTTCTTCTTTATACGAATATTGTGCAGCAACAAAAGGAAACAGCTCCGGGGACTGGGATAGGAATAGCATTAGGATTAGATCACTTTGGTATATGTAAAAGTTATTCATAATTAATGTGGTTTCTATTTATTAAATGAGTTTAAAATTGGGTATATATAATGATTCTTATAATTTTATAAATATAAATACGAACATGTGTTTAATTCCATTAATACATGTATAAATTATAATATAAAACATTTAAAATAATAAAGAGTTGATATAATACCCTTCCCTAATCCTATGAATTGCCATCTTTGTGTAGATGAAAGGAGAATCTTCATGTGACTACAGTCATTGTTCTTATATTTACATTTTAAAAAATATACCTCATTTCTAGACTTATATTTACCCAACTAATAATTTTAATATTCAATTCTATATTCTATGGATATTTAATAAAAATATTATTTAATGTAATAAAAAGTAAAATTAGACGTTCGCTCGATTAAAGTTATTTTAGTTAAACGTCTAATTTTACTTTACAAATGAAGAATTGTCTTGCAATTATAATATGACATAGACATAAATGTTAAATAATAATATTGAGTTGAAATTTACAATTTTCAGATAAAAATTAAATTAGATAAGATTAATAATTTATGTACAATTACAACTTTATAAGGTCTAAGTATAATATTTTTATTTTAAATATAATATATTAAATAACCTATAAATGTGTAGCAATATGGGTAATAAAGTATTTGTAACTATATATAATTTTCATAAAATTCTGCACATAAATGTTAGTGCAATAATTTTTTCTTTTCATAGAGTTAAAATATATATTTATTTTTTATAATTAATATTTATCTATAGATTATTTTTTATACAAAAATTGTACATTTTAGTTTTATATAAATATTTTTTCATGTACATTTTAATTCTCATTGTTAAAACATTATTAATAAAAAAATTTATTAAGTTAATATTGCTAAGCTATGTCAATATTTAAAAAAAAAACTATAACAGTAAGTATTAAAATATAAAAATATTTTTATAAGGACTAAAATATTGCATTTTAATTAAAACTTAAATCTATAACTTGACAATTCAACTTATACATTATCGTTTTAATCAAATTGGGGAGATAAACAATGGAAGTAATTATAATTTTAAATTGTAAAAAATATAAATTTACATCATATGAATATACACAAATATTAAAAATTGATTGTTAATAATAATAAGATAAAATGTCATATATATTAATTTTAATCATTTAATAAATATAATATTTAAAATTCATCATTTTCATTTTACTTCCCAAGGTGATGACTGTTAGGAGGATTTATATGTACTATGTAACAAGTATATTCTAACAATACAGTAGAATTTTGTTAAATCTAACAAGTATTGTACAAAGTAAGTACAAATCAAGATTATTGAGCACATTGAGAAGGTTGGTGGATTACAGAAAATAGCAACTTGGCATGAGGCATTAGCCTTGTTGATGAGGGGCAACATAACCTAGTACCAACAATTCTGGCATTAGTGGAATAGCAAATTAGCAAGGTTTGTCCTGGGAAGATGCTACCTGAGAATCCTTATGTTTCAATAATGGGGTTACATGAAATACTTAGCAATAGCACAAGGTAACTGCTCACGAGGTAACAGTAAAAAATAACAGTGCCTCAGCATACATGATTATCACTGTTGAAGAATGAAACAACTAAGATATACAATATCAATCCAAGTTATGTTCGGCACAACAGTATATGCCAAGGGTACACGATTACTTATTTTAGATGCCATGCAGCTTAAAACTATTCAAAAAATATTGTAAATATCATTTATATTGAAAATCTTTTACCACAAACATAAATATAAGATAATGCTCTGAATTGTTTATGTTAATCCAAATTTACTTCAAGATATATAATATATCTTATAAATAGTGTATACGAGAAAAGATAAAATATCAAACATTTCACAAGTACTTTTTTTTAAAAATATATGAAAGTAACCTTATAACTATTAAATTATTTAATGATGAATAGTGTGTTGAGTACACTTCAATCTGAAACAATAATCATTTATTTTTTAAGAGGAATTCTTGAAAAGCACAAAAGCAAATCCAAAATGAATTGAAGTTAAAATGCAATGGATCAAAAAGAATATAAAGTGGTGCCGGCATCTGAATTCTTCGATAAATTCTCAAGTCTTACAAGCTAAATATGATAAACATGAACATATTTTTTCTTTAAAAATTCACATTTCTTCAACTATGTTTAAAAATCGAATGAAAAACATTGATTTATAAATCTAAACACCCTCTAATTATCATCCAAACAATATCAATTGAGAAAACTTTTCAGCTTATATCACATCTTTTGATAAAAAAGGTTGAATATGTAAATACTTCAAAATGTATACATTATCAGTGAATTTTTTTTCCAATCTTATATTGATAATTAATTTTAGAAAACAAAATGTATGAAGCCAATGAATGAGAAACTGAGATGAACAGAGCCGTTAACAAGAATAACGAGCAAAAAAGTTTTTTTAAAGAATTGTTATTTAAATCACTAAAACTTAATATGTGTGCATCTTAAAATATATTTTAAATATAAAATAAACACTTAAAAAGGGCATGATCCTAGTAATAAAAAATTAATTTAAAAAAGGACACATACTTCAAGTAGGTCCTATTACTGAACATTCTTTCTTCTTGTTGATGGGCCCCTAGAACAGCTGTGCTAACAGCATTGTTATCCTTCAGACAGTTCAGTGCTTCAATTCTCACACTTTTAATTTCCCTTTCTCCTAAACAAAACTATGATGGCACTCCACTATCCTTAGATTCCATAGTGTTAGTAAGAAGAGGCTTTTTCTACTTGTGGGTTAGTTAGGCCAAGCCCAACTATATATTCCAAATCTCAATCCTATGTTCAATGGTTGTGGCAATTTGTGGGGTCTAATTTGTCATGCATTTTGCCTACAGTCAATAAGATAAGCATTAGCTTTTTAATCCCCACTTATGACTTTTGAGGATCCTAATCTTTTTTTTCTCAAAACTCAAAGCATCGCTTCCGATTGGTTCATGGAATAATAATGCACTTTAACTGCTAATCCTCATTAATTATAATTTTATCTCTATTTCCCAATGGTTAATTTCTAGGTAGGCCTTGTTCTAATCTACAAAGTAGTATCTATCAAATCTCTCATGCTAGCCATGCATGATACGAACTACTAATAATAGTTCTTTTTTTTTGTTGGGGGGGGGGGTGGTGTTATTTATTTATCTATAGATTTTGAACATTATGAGAATTTTATGACCAACACTAGCTGGTTCAAAAGTTGAATTCAGGTCCTGTAAATAAACAAAGTAAATGATTGAAAATAATTGTCAGCAATTTGAATTAATTAAGATATAATGTCGTATTCGAATATAGAACATTTTGAACAACAGAAATTATCGAGAAACTAAACATCTTCAACTCATAGTTTTTCTATTTCAGTAAGGTTTTCTTGATTAAAACTACTGTGAAACGCAACTCTGTATTAGCAACAATGCTGCATTAAGATTTAAATAAAGCAATTTATTTGTGGAGTCGTTTGATGAAAATACATTGTACCATTTACTATTTTTCTTTAACACAGAAGAAACTCACGCATAAAATATTTACTGAGACAAGCGATAATGATCAAACAGAGTAAAAATCAAAGTTTTGAAGACAAGAACAAATGATTTAAGCAAAATAAAAATCA